TTATTCTAGCAAGGATTCCAGAGACTCATTCTGGGTTGGGGTGATTCGATCTTCTGGATCAATTTCCATAACTAGGAACATGACCCCTCCCATCATGTTGTTCTTCTGCTTACCCCATTTCTTAGCGGTGGTCTCTATCTGTCCCACGGTGTCACCTCCTTTTAAAACTATGAGTGAATTGCCATAGTGAACTTAATGGTGGCAAGCACAAAATCAAACACCATAGGATTAAACTGCTTCATCCAGGCTACTTTCAATATCACATCATATCCGCCAAGTTAAATTATTAGAAATTGTACATGAACTTGTAACCTTACATTATCTAGGTAATATCCGTACACTTAAGACTACTAGTGATTCATTATCCATTTGCTACTATTACCATCAGTAGTTTGTCACTGACTACTTGATTTCTAACTCCCTTGGCCACAGCTTCATTCAAAAACTAGTGTGAACTCCCACTATCTAGCAAAACTAACATATCGTGCCTGGCCATCCCCCTGATTTTAAGGGTATTGCCTGCAAAAATCCCTTCCATTGCCTGTATGGATAAGGTTCCCGTTGGATTTCCTTCATTCTTGATCTCCACTTTTGGAATCTTTTCCAACTTGTCTTCTTGGTTGGACACCTCCTCTACCATCATCATAGTTATATTTTGACAGCACTGTCCTGGGAAGTAACGGTCACCACATCTGTAGCAGGATGTGGTCGATTTCCTTACTTCTTTTTCTCTTCCTGCACGCTCGGAGTTCCAAGCTGACATTCCTATCAAACCACCTGGTGAGTAGGTATAGTAATCTTCTTCTAGACATTTTAATTATGGAGTACTCTTGCAGTAAAGCTTGCTCAAAGGCTTGATTAAGTGTGAGTAGCTTGAGCAGCTTATTATTGGCTAATAACTCCGGCTTAAAACCACTGATAAAGCTGGATATAAAGAATCTCTTCGGCATGGTGGGATCATCCACGTTCGTTAGGATTTGTGCGTTGAACTGTTCTTAATATTTTAGAACAATCTCACTTCACGACAATTTGTTAAGTTCTTCTATGAAATCCTTCCGTGATGGCCCTCCAAATCTTCAACAAAACTTCTCAATGAAATACTTACATTCTACCTCATCAATTTTTGCCAACCACCCTTGCTACAACACATCCGCAATTTCTCGCGAAAAGAGGGATGCAACTTCAACTTTCTACTCATCCAATGTGTTGTTCACCAAAAAAAATATTTCTCGCACCTCCTTACCCAGATGCAAGGATTTACTCCTTCAAACAGAGAAATTTCCATTTTTTGGAAAGGAACCCAATTGGGTTGAATCAGTTCAGTTCAGTGTAGCAGATGAACCAGTTCGGTTCAAGGGTTCCAGTGGACCAACTTGGTTCAACCCCTCTACTAGACCGGTTCAGTTCACGTCCTCCATTGAATCAGTCCGTGCCTTTTCATTTGAACTCGCCCCCTTTTTTAACCCCAACTCCCAGCTTTAGGTTATTTCCTTCAATCGACTCACATGGGAAAGGCAGAATGCCTCTTCTCCAGCACACATCAATCACCAACAACCTTAGCACTTCTTCCGACAACATTCCCCCACGGATCCATTCCATAATCAAGTCGAGTTGTTGGCATGACTGTTGCTGCAACTCGTTGAAATTGTCCATGAAATTGGTCAACCTCTGATCCATGTCATTCACAGTAGGTTGGCTGCCGCTACTTTTGCAGGTTCTACCATTGCTGCCTTCCCTTTGGATCTAGTGCGCAACGTGACTGCGGCGTACGTGTTGACCAGCTTTGAGGGCTCTCATAGTACTTTTTCAGAAGCCTTGCTCATGGCTTCGGCTCTGACAGAGAGAGAAAAAGACAAAGAAAAAAGAGAGATTTCTTTAGGTAACTATGTTTTTCGATACTGCCTATTTATAGGTTACAAATGGCGGGAAAAATGAGCAGGAGATGGGAGCCAGAACCGACTGAAAGTTGCAACGGCCAAACGACCAAAGAGTAGGGGTCACTTTCAGTCAGTTTTCTATTACAACAACAAACCCTAACTCTAATTCATTACAAGCGGAAAAGACTATTTTGCCCCTGTTTGCAAATTTCCCTTTTTGTCCTTTCTTCTGTAGTAAACCGCCAAAGGCGGCTTCTTGACACTCTCCTAATTTTGCTCTTTAAATCTCTCTGTGGGATTAGCTTTCCTAAATCTTCTTTTTGTTTATCTGTCCTGTGAGTTTACATATATATATATATATATGAGAGATATTTAAAAAAGAATAACAGATGTATATTCCGAAATTCACACACGTAACAGCTATTCCAAAAAAACACAGCTCAGATTTTGAAAAAACACACAGCAGGTACTTAGAAAAAAGCCAAAACAGTATATATATACATATATATATATATACCAGCAATATAAGGGGAGGAAGCGGAAGCTGGAGGTGCCAGCCGCTGGAGGCTGGTGTGCAAGGAGGCTAGACGATTTGGGGATATATATATATATATATATAAGAAGTATGTATATAATTATACATTTTGAGTAAGGGTAATTTTGAGATTTTAAATGTAGATTTTTAGTAAAAACTAAAGTTGTCCTCTAAAATCTACACATCATACCTTTTCATTTTAAACCTATCAAAATTAAATTTTGGCTTTTGTGAAAAGCACTTTACATTTTATCCCTTTGGTTGTAGAAGTGCTTTTGAAACAAAAACCCACAGCTAAAAGCTCCACCCACGGACCCTAAATCTTTTGAGTAGGAAAAAGAAGACACTCCCCTGTAAATTAAGATAGTTCTATTGCTTAATACCAAAGTCAAAAGCAAGAACGATTTCAAAATTAAGCATAAAATATTCATGATATAGAACAAGATGATCCTAATTTGGAATAAATTTAGTATTCAAGAGTCTTTTGTATTTATTATTGTTGAATATCTTTAACATGCTAAGGCTATTTAAGTGGATTTTAAGTTGTAGAAAACTTTGACTTCCTTTTATTTCAATATCTTCCTTATTAATTGTAACCAATGCCTATATAAGGGCCAACAACTGATCAGAAAAAATGTAGAAAAGAAAGATGACAATGAATGAAAAATTTCTTTTGCAGAGGTTTAATTTCCAAGTATTTCTCTGTGTTGGTGTTTCTATTTATTATTTCGTTCGGTCTATTTTTCCTTTATTTTTTTACCTTGATTTCCAATTTCATTTGTCTATCTGTAGTCTTCTGTCTCCTCACCTATATTCCTCTAATTTCTAAACTATCCTTAGACAAGTTAGTTTTAGAGCTACTTTTCCTACATCACTTCATCACACATCAACTTGCAAAAAATTAATGGATTGAAAGGAAACCATCAAAACAAGTGAACAAAACCAACTTAAAAACAAATGTTAATCCGCAAAGCTCAAGAGAAAATTTGCCTATGCTTTTAATCCTTATTATCCTTTAACCAATGCCAAATTACAGGCTGGTCATTAACATGCAAAAGAAGGACCCAGAAACACAATCAAGGATATTTAAAAAAAAAAAAAAAAAAAGAAAGAACATGCAAAGCTTGGCAAAGCAAAATTCCATATCCATACCATAAGATTTCTAAGTAGCACTGAATCATTGAGGTCACAACATATTGTCCACATAGTTTGGTAGCCCTCATGTCGTTTTGCAATAGCCAGCAAACTTGAAGAGTGCTTCCTAAGGATTTCCTCATTTGGCTCGCCAAGCTCTCCATGTACTTCCTACAAAGATCAACAAAATGCATATGCATCCAACTCAACAATCTGAAGAAAGAGACTTCAAGTAGAGAAATCTTAACCTGGCACCCTGCTTCCACAAAACCTTTGACTTGCTCATAAAGAGATTCAAGAAGTGTGTCTCTCCTGATCCAATATTCTTCTACAAGACCTTTGTGTTCTTCTCCACGCTCTACCTTAGCTGTGATAGCACCAGTATATGCCTCAAGTAAAACCTCTGCCGGTGCTTCTAGATGATTGTATATGTATGTTTTTGCAGACACATCAAGCCCAGATGTTTCCCTTAACAGCTGGAGAAAGAAAGAAGCAATGCTCCACAGCCCATTACGCACCACAGGTTGAGAATACCAAGGGGTTAAGCCCTCAGGTGGTGGATACCACATCTGGTGCTCATTTCTGTACTGCATGGCAGTTCGAATTACAGTAACACATGCATTTGAAATTTCACAAGCTCTCTGCATCTGAATCTCAAGTGGATGCTCTGTGCTTATTAAATATTCAAGCTGTTTGTCTGAGCAATAAAATACTTCCTCAATATCAGAGACCTTACTGTAAAACACTTCACCATTATCCCTGTCCATCAGAAGAACAGTATTCCGCCGGGCTTTCTCACCAACCAACTGAATAAGATCCCAAATGGAACCTGCACCTTGATGCTCTAAACCATTACGTGGTGAACCAATTTCAACTGAACGGTTCTGGCTAATTAAGTTTTGCAGATCCCGCAGTTGAACCATTCCAGCCAGCTTTTCACCATGTTCCAAGATAATTTGCAAAGAATGTCCTGCAAAAGGTGAGCATAAATCCTTTTTGAGAGGAAGCACTCCTTTTTTTCTCAAGTAGAAATCTATGAAGCTTGTCTAGCAACAATATTTTATTTCGCATCTAGATGTCTACATGATTTTAAAGGAAAAAAAAAGAACTTCAAACATCAGCCAAAGAAACAGAAAAGATTTATTGGATGCTTTTGACAAGAACATAAAGTAACTGAAAATCAAAGTGTGTCAAAATAAAATGTGTTTTTCAGATATCTTATGATGAAAACTAAGGACTGCTGGTAGCAGAAAATGGTCACCAAAACATGAAACCTCATACAAACTGAAAATCTGCCTGTTCCACATAAAAATATCTCAAAATAATTAGCCAAGACATTGGCAAAATGGTAT